TAAAAGTTTTGAAGATCAATTACTTCTTCTGATCAAGGACTTAATGAATTCTATTTTACAGGGGACCCCATATGAGACTCTTGGAAGGACATCTACATTTCTTTAATACTGAAAGATGGACTGGATTTATTTTCTATGAAGGCCAATATCTCTTTTTAATAATCACTACAAAATCTACATCTATTTTAGCTATTAAAAAAAGTTTTACAAGATCATATATATGAAGATCAGTGTGGCTTACCTAAAAGACAAATAAAGGATAATGTAAGAGTAATTTTGAATATAATTGAGTATCTACAACAACATAGCAACAAACGGATTACAATAATCTTTAAGCTTTTGACAATTTGACAATTTGAACTGGGCCTTTGTGTTTAAAGTAGTGAAAAAGATGGATTTTGGATAGGGTTTTGCCATCTCTGAAGTCCATCTATACACTCAAGTGAATGGTGAATGGAGACTTTACAAAACCAGTTGAAATCCAGAAGGGAACAAGACAGGGTGTCCTTTATCTCCTTTATTATTTACTCTAGTGTTGGAACTGTTAAATAGAGATAACAGATAACAGAGCAAAAGGACTACAAATAAAAGTGCATAATTACAAATTACATGCATTTGCCGATGATTTAGTACTGATTGTGCAAGACCCGTTAGAGAACACTGAACATGTTACTAGGAAGATTAAAATGTTTGGAGAAATGGGAGGTTTAAGAATAAATAGATAAAAGAAAACAGTACTGATTAAGAACATAAAGGTGGAAGATCAGAAGAAACTGAAATTTAGAATTGGCTTTGAAGTCATGAAAAACATACAGTATTTGGGCATGATTGTTATTGAGGAAAATTCTAAGCTTTATAAAAACAGTTACAGTAAAATATGGAAGGTGATAAAATTGGATTTAAAAAGATGGCAAAAATTAGATTTGTCATTAATGGGAAGAATTTCAGTAATTAAAATGAATATACTACCTAGAACGTTATTTCTGTTTCAGACTATACCAATATTGATTAGCGATTCTACTTTCAAAATTTCAAGGTTGTTAAACCTCGAAGGTTTTGATTTGAGATTTGGGTATGACAAAGTAAAAGTTAATCTGGCTTTAAGATTCATGTTATTAGGCAATCGATTGCACATGTATGCATGGAATTACAAAAGATGATTAGCTGATAAAATGCCACTTTGGCTATTACCTCATGAAGCATAGAACAGAGATGATTTTGGAATGTAAATGGATGACATATCAAGACTTATTGATATTTGAAAAACAGGGATTTAAGATAAAGATAAGAGAACAACTAGTAAATGAAAACTTTCTTTGTGATTGGTTTAATTGTTATAGAACTTTTGAAAGATTTAAACTTGATAAAAAAAATTCACAGGAACTAAATCTGAATTGGATATTAATTTTATGTTCTGGAGATGACCCCTTGGTTTCTAAAGTATATAAAATGCTACTCAAGATGAATCTAGAAGATGAATAAGTTAAAGAGTATATCCTAAAATGGGCAAAAAAAATGGGTATAATACTAGATAAATGGGAGAATATATGGACGAAGGAATTAAAATTAATATTATAGTTTGGAAGAAAACTTTTATAAAATGATATATCATTGGTACTTCACTCCAAATAGGTTAGCGAAAATATATAAAGGGATTTCTAATAAGTGCTGGAAATGTAGTCAAAATCCAGGTTTATTTTATCATATGTCTTGCGAATATATAAAAACATATTGGATAAACATAACAATAATGCAAAAATATTTAAGATATAAATATTAATGAAAGCTGAAACTTTTCTTTTAGGTATGATGGACAAGTCAATTGAAAAACAATTTGGGGTGCTATTTTTTCACATGGTGACAAGGATTCCACTTGCAAAACATTGGAAAGAAAAAGAGATGCTGATTGTTAAAGAATGGATTTTGAAATTGACTGAATTAGCAAAGATGGTAAAATTAACTGCTTTGATTAGAAATAATGGACTAGACAGATATATATGAAACTGAAAATGTGGACTTTCTACACAGTAAATATAATTAGGGTTAACAGAGGGATTTGGAGGTTAGTGTAATGTTTAGGTCAACCTGTTGACTGCTTTCTTCTTTTTCATGTATGTGTGTGCGTGTGTGTGTCACACACATATACATACACAAATATAAATATATTGTATGTATATTTTGTACACACACACACATATATTTGTAAAAGGGGAAAAAAATTTATTGCTTATTTTTCTGTTTCAGAAATCAGCCAGGGTAGATCCTACATCTTATATGTTAAATTGACTATTTTCTTGAATTCATTTATTATATAGTAAATTCTGGGAATATTCTTTTATGCAATTAGCTTCTTTATTCCCCACTTTTGTGGTTAAAAACTGAAACTATGTATCAGGTTGAAGATCTATGTGTATAATGATATTTCCCAGAAATAAACTGATAGAATAAAATAATAATAAACATATATTGTCAACTTTAATTAGACTATGATAAGTTCCTAAAAATAAATCTACAATTCAACTTGGCCATCCAACAGAGGCGGCAGCAAAGAAAAAGAAATAAAATTCATAGGACAAGAAGGTTTCCTGCATTAGAAATTATGTACAACAAATATACATAAATTAAAATAATAATGTGAGAGGTGCTAGAAATAATTAATAACCAAGAGATGGTTGAAATAAGAACTGTCTAAGTCTGTCACAGCTTATGTCATCAGAGTCCCTTGAGAGACTAAGAATCTTATTACAGACAATAAGAAGTACATTATTTTCTATATTATTACATTTTGCTATATGGCACTGCTGTGCTTCAATTGCAGTTTGACAAATCAAAATCTGAGACATATTTAAACAGCATTGTCATGCTGAGTGCAAACTACTTCCATCCGGCATGCTTGCTTGAGAATTCCATGGTTGATTCAGGAGCAGTGAACTGGTCATATAAACAAAGAATTACAAAATCATTACAAAAGGATAAAAGAAGAGCTTAATTCCTTGGGGACATTAATCAATAAGAGATTTTGAGACAAATCATATCTTAAAAAGAAAATGTCTGTGTCTTAACTTATTCAGATTAAATAATGATGATAAAAATCAGTCTTGTGAAGGAAAAATATTTCTTATGAGAAAATTCAGAAACAAATTTTGTATCTTGGGATGGATTGTTTAATTCAGTAACAAATTATTCATTTGCGAAAACTTTTTTTACCCACATTTCCTCTTTACAGTACAACCATATGAATGTACAACATTGTATAAAAAAAATAAGTGGATGCTACAACATTTTACATGAACTGCCTGTGTGCATGTGTATTTGTGCACAGGGAGATAGAAGATCTGTAACAAAGATCAGTGGCTTGATTTAAGATATATTCAAGATGGGGCATATCTTCTAAATTTGTCCATTTGAAGTAAGCCCATTATCTCAATATGCTGTAAAAAAGCAGGGAGGGAAGAGGAGGGGAAGGAAGGGAAATATCTTTGTATTGTATGGAGCAGCGGTCGCCAACCGGTGGGCTGCGGCCCACTGGTGGTCTGTAAGAAAATTTTGGTGGGCCGCAGATAAATCTCACCCCCAGAGCACCCCCACAAAGCAATTAATCCAGGTTGTGCAGAAACACAAGGCTGCACCGCCCACATGGCCCGTGAGAACCCTCCCCGCTCACTCACTCCTTACCCAGTAAACTTGCCTGCTAAATTGCTATTTTCCCTTTTTCCGACCATCATCTGTTCTGCTGTGCTGGGAGATTTAGATTAGCTAGGAAGCAGGAAATTGTTGGATTTCTTGCTTTCTAGCTAGTCTTTAGATCTTCGGCTCAGTACAGCTGAACCTCCCTTAGGACTGAAGGTTTGCTTCCAAGCAAATTCAGTGCAGACTCACGGCAAGCAAATTTGAGAGACTGAGCTAGCCAATGGCAAATAGATAGATCACTGAATGATTCTGTGAGCAACTCAATCTGCCTGCCTGCTTTGCCTGATTTTGGGTAAAAGTTGCTCTTTTTTTAAAATAAAAAATTCAATATTTACATGCATGGTGTGTTGTGAGTTAATTTTGTGAGTTTGCTTGCTAGCAAATTTTATGAGTTTGCTTGCAAGCAAATTTTATGTGACAGATTGAGCTAGACAATGGCAGATAGATAGATCTCTGAATGAATCTGTGATTCTGTGAGCAACTCAATCTGCCTACTTTGCCTGATTTTGGGTAAAAGTTGCTCTTTTTTATAAAAAATTCAATATTTATATTAATATTTACATACAAGCCATGCTCAGCCAGTCACATAACCACCAAGCCACACCCACAAATTAGACCATGCCCACAGAACCAGTTAGTGATCCCTGGGATCTAAAATTATGAGTTTGGTGGTCCCAGAGGGTCCAAAAGGTTGGCGACCCCTGGTATGGAGTATTTCTCTAGGCTTCTTAAATATATCTGTCTATTTACATATATTCTATCTAAATACAGAGCATATATAACATTTGACATGGTGACTTTGTGGTTTATTCCATAATATTCAAATATAAAAACAACTTAATTAATTTACTTCCAAGAAATAAAGACACTGGATCTTTAATAGAAGAGAACACCCACCTTACTATTAACAAGACAGTTCTCTAAGACAACTGGTTTGATGCCTTATGAACTTTGACTCCAAGGATAGAAACTAAAAGAATCTTCCTTAGCAGGTACCAGAATATCTTGTCCAGCATTGGGTATTGTATCATTTCTCCCTGATTTACAGAATGGTAATCTCGAGCAGCAAAATTATCTTGTGCTAATCTGGGATGACAGAAGATGCTTGCAGTCTTATCAAAAAGTATATCACTGCATTGTAGAGCTAATAAGATGTAGGATATGACATCACTGGCTCCTTATTTTAGGAAACTTATGTCAAACTATTAAGATTTAATAATGGCATCTAATCATAAAAAGGAACCATTGACTGGACATTCATATATTCTAAAGACTTTTCTCAAGACATAGGAATTTTTGTAATGACGTACCATCAGCGGCTGCCTTAGCAATAGCTTTTGCGGCATTCTTCTGAAACTCAGTTAGAGTGGAAACTTCAGTGAAGGCCAGTAGCTTTCTGAGACCCCCTGTCTCCTGGATCAGTTGCATTGTATCCACATCCTCAAGACAATTTGCCACAACTCCAAGAGCTTCTACATGTAGGTCATTAAATTCCTATAAGTTAAAAAGATGCAGATATGACATCAACATTGTAAAAGGATTTAAAACTATGTTACTGTTTTCTGACCACATATTTTGGTACGCCATATTCCCATAATACTGCTGTCATAATTTACATATATAAAAACACTGGTCTCATAAACTAATATGCTGTTACAGGATACCTTAATTGCAGAAAAATATTTGACAAGTTCTCCCCTTATTTGAAAAGTGTTCAGAAGGCACAGCTGGTGCAACTGTTATGGCAGTACAGGCAGTTCTTAGGGCCCCTTGAGTGGTCCATGCTACAACACTACCGGTCTGCTTCTGGGTGCAATTGAAAATGTTGGTCATCATCTTTAAAGCCCTGCATGACATGGATCCAATCTACTTGAGCTACCATCATACCCTGATGAGGCTGGCCCACCCAATCTGCACCGGCAGAAGCGACATACTATGGATTCAGCCAAGGAATTTTGGCTGATGGGATCCAGAAGAGCCTTCTCTGCTGTGGCTCCTGCTTTCTGGAACATCTTACCCTCCTCATGTTTCAAAAGAGCCTTAAGACCTGGCTTTATCTGATGCAGACCCAATGGGGGAACTTCATACTGGAGGTAGCTGTCTAATAAAAGTCCAATCCCCATTCCCCATATGTTCAGCTACCTTCTTTGCCACCTTGTTTCCATGATTTTATTTCAGCCAGAACAACCTGGAGCTGAATATGCTTAAAAACTGTAGAGAAGAGAATGGATGTTAGGAAAAGGCCTCCTACCACTCCTTATTATAACATCCTTATTATATTTAACAGCACTGTAGCAGCAGTAAAGTCCTTCAGGTTTTGGGGTTCTATAGTCTCCCAGGACTTGACATGGTCACCTAACATTAGAACCATCACCAAGGCACAACAAAGAATAACTATAACCCATTGTTCCCCAATCAATGTACACTTGAGGACCTCATGGCAGCATGACAGAATGCAATTAATGATCCAACAAAATAGCTAGAGAACAAAATAAAAGACACCCTAAGAAAAATGGAAAAAGAAAAGCAGCTAACACCACTAAGAGAAAGCACGTGCAACCACAAGACTCCTTCACACCTAAGATCTATGGACTCCCTAAAATATACAAGAAGGGGATCCCCTTAGGCCCAATTGTGTCTCTACCTGGAACACCAACGTATAAACTAGCAAAATCCTGCAGAGGAAACTCAGAAACCTGGTCAATGACTCAACCCACTCAATACATTCCCCAGAACAATTTCTCCAATATATCAAACACACTAAGATCAACAAGGAGGAAATCCTTCGATGTCACCGCTTTCTTCACCTAGATTGACATCAACCTGGCTAAACAAACCATACACCACCTACTCACTAAACACCTTACCCACAAGGATGATTCCACTACAGAACATTCCACATTCAAAGAAACCATTGTGAAACTCCTGGACACATGCCTCAACACATACTTCAATTTCAATGGGAAAATCTGTAAGTAAGTACAAGGTACACCAATAGGATCATCCATATCAGGCCTATTAGTAGAAGTAGTCATGCAATGATTTGAATCTACAGTTCTAACCAACCATCCAACCAAAATTCAGGACATGTAGATGATATCTTCGTCATCATCAAATGCTCCCAAATTGGAGAAACAAACCACCTACTCAATAACCTATTCCCTGGGATCAAATTCACACACAAAGAAGAAAGAGAAAGCAGACTCCCATTCCTCAACATCAACAGAAGGAGAATAGACAATGGAGAACTGGAAACCTGAGTCACTCCAAGTGAAATAGAAATAATTAGGAAAATTTGGGTGTGGGCAGAAATGGACAAATTGACAAAAGAATTAAAAAAGAAGGATGAATTGGAATATTACAAAGTATGGGATAAGTTTTATGGTTGGTTAGAAAAGAGAAAGGATCAAGATAATAAGAAATGATTAAATGTATATAGCATATACTATGTATATAGAATATAAATATGCACTATTTTCATATGTGACTTAGCAATGTAAGAAGACAACTATGTGGGTTAGGAAGATTGTACCATGTCCACTGTTTTTAATGTCCCTTTCTGTTTTTGTGTTTGTCTAATAAAATTTAAAATTTAAAAATTAAAACAAAAGATATCTCAAATGTACAGCTCCAGTATTGGTGTCTACAAATACTGTTCATTTTAGAGGTTCCCACTAGCCTGAAGAACCAAGAGAACATTATTCCATATAATCAGAAAGCACTCACTTTATCTGAAGAAAACCTGTTTATATCTATTCAAGTCAAGTTATAATTAGTTTAGCTGACAATCAATTAAAGAAATTTATCAATTAAAGAAATAAAATGCCTTATTGAATTCTCTTTAATTAACCATGAATGAACCCCAAACTGCCCTTTTAACAAAAGTTTTGTCATTAAAGACATATTTCCTCATATGTAGAACAACTTTTCTTTCATATTAAGTACTGCATTTTTTCACATGCAATTTCTCTCGTTTAAATTGACTGACTAAAATTCATAACTGTGATGTCTTCAAGGATACCTTAGTTTCCAATGTCTTGAAAAGGTGATCTAATCCTTGATTTTCTCTTAACATCACTCTTGTTTCTCTATCAATGGTAATGACACCTAAAGTTTTGAGTGCTAACAACTGAATAACTGGGTAGTCAGACTTCAGAAGTTCCAACAAAGGAGGAATTACATTTAATTCGCGTATTGCAGCACGACTTTGAAAATCCTATATTTAAATATCAAATAAAAATAATGTCATTGGGGAAAAAACAATATAAAGCACAATATAATTATGACTGTTACAAAATGAATAGGTTAGTTCAAATACAGTTTAGAGACATTTCTTTAACAGATCAAGCATTGAGTTCCATGTGTTACAAATATATATATTATACAGAACAAAACCCAGAAATGTTTATCTTACAAATAATTCATCTTTAACAGAAAAAAATTCTAACATATTGACACAAAAGGAATAAAAGAAATGCAGTTTGACCATTTGATATGTATTTTAATATCTCTACTTTCTTGTTCTTTTAAATAGCTAAATGTTTTTAAACTGCTTTGTTAAATATTTAAACTTTTCTGATTGTGCAACGTTAAAATAGTAAAAGTAAAAGTTACTAGTTAGTAACTTACTACTAGAAGTTTTCAAAAGATATCTTCTCTGTGCTTTTTTCTATACAATTTCACTTGTCAGTTTAAACAAGCACCAGGTGCAGTTGTCCTGATATACCTTACAATAAGGATAGATAGCCAAAGAATGGAAACAGCAAAATGTGATTCAGAATAAAGACATGCTCTGATGCCCTAGAAAAGATTGAACTGTGGATTGAATTCATTACATAGTTGATTCACTTATAACTTGGTCACAACCCTGTTCAATTGGAGCACTTGGATTTAAGCCAATTTGGTACCATTTAAATCAGGAGAGCTAAAGTAACTTGTCCCACTGTTTCAGCTTCACTGGATTGTATATTGGGCTATTCGACTTTGAAAAGAACTCTTCTACCAATTTACTATTCTTTTGCTAACCAGCATATGGTGACATTAACACTGATTGTGAAAGTAACTAATTACAATAACCTTCTCCCCCCCCACCTTCTGAAAAGAAACTGTCAAAATCATTTACTAAGAGTTTAAAAAGTGTAAAATCATTACGTGTTAGGCAAGAATAATACAAAAATAATACTTCTTATTCCAAATCATCAATAATTGACATTTTTATAGCCTTTTATAGAACTTAAACATTATTCCAGACAATGAAGAAACTATAGATTTTTCTTCTACTGAAAATTATTCTACATTCTTCTACTGAAAATTATTTCCTTTATAGGCATTTAAATGGAGCATGTTCCGACCTATACTAAACACATTTAATTAACAAATTTAATCAGAATCAATGAGACTTGCCATTTAGTAAATCACCCTAATTCATTCAAGAGACATCTGACATCCAGCCCTTGCCAACTGAAAGCAGTAAAACTTTTGTGAGCAGATTCAGATCTGTGGGCATAGTGATACCATTAATCATATTTTACCAAGGATGGAAATCAAAAACATGAATGTTTCTCAATGTTTCTTATAAGTCCTCTTATTTTCCTCCTAATTAACTTACAACCAGAAGTCTTATGGATTAAAATAATGACATCAGCTGTATTAATTGGCAGGGGGAATTCATGAAGCAAACTAGTCCATGTCAGTATGAGGAGATATGAGAAGGATGCATTTAAAAATAAGATGGCAGGAAAAGTTGGGTAAATAAAATGTGGATCAAACACAAATCAGCATATAATATTAGATTCATTTATAGAAGAAGGCACTACTTTCTAATGAAAAATGAAAGGAAATCATCACCTGCACTAGATTATAGATGCATTCCACACAATTCTTCTTAACATCAGGATCAGGACTTCCTAGCAGCCGGATAAGAGGCTCTAATCCACCTTGCTCAAAAATTTGTACTTTACTGTTATAATCAACTGACATGTGTACGAGACAAAGACTGGCAAACTCATGGATGACAACATCTTCTACAAAATATTTAAAAGTGACTGTGATCAAACATTATCCAATAACAAATATGCACATGTTATAAGAAAAATGTTGATGTACTCAATTAAAAGCAGATTGTAATTAATTATTTTCAAGATGTTAAAAATAAATGGGAACACGTATTTATTTAAAATTTACCAAAATATTACAGTATTAAAAAAATATGTTGCCAAATGGGAATAGGAAGGTTCTATTTTCATTTTTTTTAATTTTTTTGCTCAAAGGTTATTGTTTTTATAGACTCTTACACCATATATGTTATGTTGATTTTATATTTTAGGCAAGCTGCTGACAGTCTTTCAATTGCAGGAATAGAAACTGAGAAACAAGCCAAACAATAACTTGAAAAATAAAGCCATTATCATAAGTAGGTGAAAATGGCCTTGGGAGACAGAGGGGAAGGCAACCATTATGCAAAAGGTATCTCAGTCTACAGAAGGAAAAGGGACATGGGAATCATCTCAAAAGAGACATCGCTAAATTTTCTGGAAATTAAAAGTAAAAAAGGGGAGAAGTAGTTTCAGATTTGCAAGGTTTTGTTATTACAAACATAAAATAAATAATGTTGGTACTCACTAAACAACTTATTGGATCATTGTTTCAGAAATATTTATTTAAACAGAGAAACAGAATGGCAAGGGCAAAAATACCCCAATGGCAGTGGGTGCAATTTCTGACTTCCTGGCAACTTGCCTGTGGTGGAACTGGTCCACCCTGCCTGTAGGGCAGGACTGAGCTACTTGATCTCCAGATGCTGGCAGCATGGACAATCTACCTGGCCTTCAGAGGACTAAGACAGAACTGATCTACTGAAAATCTGGTGGTGGCATAACAGTGTGGTAACACAGAAGTGACCACAAATTGGCTGAATTTCAATCCCACAGGAGTAATGGATTATAGTGATGGATTGTAGTTCGGTAAGTTAGCCCATTTGAGGTATCTTGATTCAAAAATCATTGTTGTATGATGCACTATTTTGCCCAGTTAAAGGTAATAGGCACAAGAATTTTAGTTGTATATCCATTAGATGGTTGGTGTTTCTTATCTGGACTAGAAAGATTGAGACCATGTGAATGAAGCCGCATCTTCTTTAATGTGTACTGTGGTATAAGGATATCAATCATCATACAGCTGAAGCTGCTACTTAGAATTTGTTCACCTTCCCAGCAAGTAAGAGAAGCAAGAATTTATGCTGCAAGTTACCTTCTGGTGCCAGACGAGCTATGAATGCACTTGTGACATCAAGCTGCCGTAGAGATTTCTTCACATCATCTATAATGAAGGACATAAAGCAATATATTCTGTTAATTGAAAGAATACAGTATGCTGTCATGACTAATAATGCAAATATAATAGTATTGTTTCATCCTGTAGAGGAGATATTAAAGCATTGGCTTGGAAGAACAACAAAAATAGACTATGTTTCATTTACAGTTGACAGGAAAAATGTTATTTCATGAAATCAGTAAAATTGGATGACAAACCATACTCAATGAGTAGTCCTTAATGGTAGTACATCTACATGGAGAGAAGTGAGTAGTGGGATACCACAAGGCTCCATCTTAGGCCCAGTACTCTTCAATATCTTCATAAATGACTTAGATGAGGGAATAAAAGGGGAACTCATCAAATTTGCAGATGACACTAAACTGGCAGGAATAGCCAATACCCCAGAAGATAAGCTCAGGATCCAAAAAGATCTTGACAAACTTAAACAATGGGCCCTATCGAACAAAATGAATTTTAATGTGGAGAAAAGCAAAGTTTTACATTTAGGCAGGAAAAATAAAAAATCAAAGGTATAAGTACAGATTAGGTGAGATCTGGCTCAAAAATAATAAATGTGAGAGGGACCTTGGAGTCGTAGTGAATGATCACTTGAATATGAGCCAGCAATATGCAGCAGCAGCCAAAAAAGCCAATATAATGGGGTTGTATAAACAGAGGCATAGAATCAATATCACATGAAATATTAGTACCACTTTATAAAACCCTGGTAAGACCACACCTGGAATACTGCAACCAATTTTGGTCACCATACTACAAAAAGATGTCCAGACTTTGGAAAAAGTTCAGAGAAGAGCAACTAAGATGATCAAAGGCCTGGAGACTAAAACATATGAAGAATGGCTGCAAGATTTGGGTTTGGCTAATCTAAAGAAAAGAAGAATTAGGAGCCACATGACAGCAGTATTCCAGTATTTGATAGGCTGCCACAAAGAAAAGGGAGTCAAATTATTGTACAAAGCACCAGAGGGCAGGACAAAAAACAGTGGATGAAAACTAACCAAAGAGAGAAGCAACCTGGAATTAAGAAGAAACTTCCTAACAGTGAGGACAATTAACCAATGGAAAAGCTTGCCTTCAGAAAACATGGCTGCTCTATCACTGGAGGTTTTAAAGAAGAGACTAGACAATTACTTATCTGAAATAGTATAGGTTCTCTTGCTTGAGCAGTGGACTGGACTAGCAGGGTCCCTTCCAGTTCTACTCTACTCTACTCTACTCTACTCTCCTCTCCTGAAAAGCAAACATCTCTGTCTGATTACAGCTTAGTGCTACTTATGTCAGGGGTGGGCTTCAAAAATTGTAGCAAAAGGTTGCTGGGTAGCCGTGGCCATGGTGGGTGTGGTCTAGTCATCGTCCTGCACCATGGTGGGGACGGGGGTGTTTTTCCCCTTCCCAGACTCCAGAGGTTTTCCTTGAGTCTCTGGGAGGATGAAAATGGCCTCCCCGAATTCTGGAGGCTCCCTGGAAGCCCGAAACTTCCAGGAGCCCCATTTTTCACCCTCCCCGAGCCTCCACATGTGCCATGCGCTTACCTGCATCCAAAACAGCTGTGTGGAGACTCCTGGGAGGGTTGGAGTGGGGTGGGCAGGGCCAGCCAGAAGTGAGATTTGGCGGTTCTCTAAACTTAGCTAGAGGATCTCCTGAACTCCTGCGAAACCCCAGCAGCCCATCCCTGACTTATGTCCTGGAAGCTTGATTATTTTGCCAGATTCAAATATTGCTATTAGTTTTTTATAACATTAATAAATACAAGGAAATAAGCATTTTATTACTTTCAATTTTAATTAAATTAAAGCTTACACCAAATAAAGTTCAGTTTTCTCTCTGCTCTCACCTACTTTCTGAATTTGGCTATGCCCACTTCTTGGAATGAAGCTCTTTGAAGGGCTCCTAAAGGCCAGGGTTGCTTATGCTGAAGAAGTTGCATGCTCAACTTATTTGATAGTAAATTCCTCAGGTCTTGTACATTTTTGTTCTCTCCATAGACCTTCTTTACATTTTTTCTCTTTTCAGGTTACTCCATTCTTATAATACAACAGTTCAAAGTTAACTTTATTAAACCCAGTGAACTATTTTTAATGTTGCTTAGCAGAAACATTAGACATACTACAATTTCATAGTTTACATCAGTTTAATATGTGTTAACAGTTTCACAATGCATAATACTGCCCATGTTTCTAAAGGAAACTCTTACTATGAGATGCCATGATTCCGACTACCATGGTAGCATTTCTGCGAACAGTGGGATCTTCATGTGTAACTAATTTAAATAAAGGTTCTAATGCTCCAAGTTCAAGAAGTGTCAGCTTGTTTTCTTCACCTAAAAACAATTGTTAATTATATTTAATTTCAAATTTCTCTAATAATCATTATAACTTAGTAAGCTTTCGATTTAACAGATCGATGGGGGAAAGTGTTCATAAAACAAAATGAAAAAAAACAACAACTATTAAACCTGAATATATTTTACACAAGTCTTTTAGATATTTTATGCACTTTATGTAAGTGTAAAAGGCATATGGGATTTTATACATGTGCAGAATCATGCTCTTGTAGACAGGTTTTGTCCATTGCTACTTAGTTTGTCCAATAAACTCCTTAAAATCAAGATTTACTGTAACAATAGCAGTAACTGTAGAAGAAGAAGAAAATAACAATATCAAAGGATGAACTACCTTGAAACAGAAAAATGTTACATGTGTCTGTCAAGGTCACATTTTTTTTCACTGCAATGAACCAGCAGTAACCTAGCTAAGGCACAAAGATGATAATCATAATAGTAATGAACATGAACAATAGTAATTAATAATAAGATGAAGAAATAATGGACACCTAGTCCTAGTTGCTGCAAGAAGATTACATAGACTGATTACAAACAAATAGCATGACAAAGTAGCAACAACTGTGCATTGAAATCTCTGCAAGAAATATCATTTGCCTGTAAGCAACAATTACTGGGACCACAAAATAGACAAAGTAATAGAAAATGGAGAAACTAAACTGCTCTGGGATTTTCAAATTCAAACAGATGAGTATCTGCTATGTAACATTCTAGATTTAACAACTGTCAATAAAAAAGACAAAATAGTCTGGAGAGTGGTTGTTCAGTACCTAGAAACAGTAGAATAGAAAGAGAATAGCAATAGCAATAGCACTTAGACTTATATACCGCTTCACAGTGCTTTACAGCCCTCTCTAAGCAGTTTACAGAGTCAGCATATTGCCCCCAACAGTTTGGGTCCTCATTTTACCCACCTTGGAAGGATGGAAGGCTGAGTCAAAGATTTTCAAAAAAGAAGCAGAGCAAAAGAAAGAAAAGATAATATAGGTGACTTGGGTGCAAAAAAATCATCACCAGTCAATTGCAAAAGGCACTTTTATTTGGAACAATAAAATGATATGTTTAACACCATCATACAATAGCATCTCCCTGTTCTAAGTCAATAGATGGACAAAAATGCCAGTCTAAACATCTAGCTGACTGAATTACAAACTATAATATGTTTTACTTGGCAATAGCTTACACCTTGCAATGATAGCTTTAGCACCATCAACAACAATATAGAGGGCCAATTTGGTTTAGTGGTTAAGCCACTAGGATAGAAATAGGAAAACCATAAAATCCCACTTTAGGAAAGGAAGCCATCTGGGTGACTTTGAGTCTGTCACTTTCACTTAACCCAATGCATCCCACAGGATTCTTTTTGTGGAGAAAATGAGGAAAGGGTATTAGATATGTTCTAATGTTCACAATTAGAAATGTTTTATTCATAAAAATAATAAAGTGGGACATAAGCTAACAAACAAATAAACATGTGCCTATCCCAGATCCTTAAAAAGGACTCAATGTGGATAGAAATGGCAGATTAAGTCTAAACATCTGGCTGAATGTGCAACTAACCATAATAAATTGATTAGATTTTCCTTGCTGTTCTTTATCTGGAAGAGTTTGCTTATATGTCAGAAGCTCCCATAACATAGCTTTATATTACACTATGTAACTCTATATATTGTCTTGCATAGTGCTGGCATTTAAATATTAAACAAATAGGAATTATTCATATAAATATTTAGTAATTAATAAACAGGTGGAACATGATAAAAGAACAAACCTTTTAATGCAAATCTATACAGAGCTTCACATGCTTTATATAGCACTTCCTCTTCAGGAGAACTGAGCATCAGTACCACTGTTGCAGCTTTTTTGCTTTCAACTGACAAAGGATCGAACTAGAGAACCAATAGTAAGGATATTAATATAAGACGGTGTTATAAAGTTCAGTGCCATATATATTTTCTGATAAATATAAGGCAACCATTGAACATATCTTTTGAATTACAGTATATAATAATATACTTACATACCAGTAAATACTATACTTAAAAAAATATCTTACAGGAAGGATTCAATTGTTTGTAACTTTAACAGCAACTTAATGGCTTATAAGAAGGTTCCATTTTCCTTTCCCTTATTCTCCATGCAAGGAGATTTTGGAAATAGAAGACCGAAATGCATGCTTGCAGTGGGCTATTGAAATGTGATTGGACTTGGCCACAAATAGCCTAACTCTAAAATATGGATGAAAAGGAGATGAACAATAATTATACCCCAAAAAAGGACAGATGGAATTCAAATCCCACAAATTCAACATTTAGCTTAGAAATTTCCTCCAAACTGCCTCTTTCTCCTACTCATAGGAAATCCACGGAGCACATATAATACGAGTTTTGGAAATTGTAATGATATACATCAATCAGTAATTCTGAAAAAGAGATGGCGATGAAATGGACTCTATGACAAATTAATTCTAAGATTTTGAGATCAGTAAGTTTTTTTAAAAAAAAACAAGAACATTTGTTGCTGATCTGGCTATAGGCAACAAACCTAGCAAGAAAGCACTTACAGATTTGATCAAACATAAAAAATTCAATTATAAAATACCATGAACATAGACAATTTTTACTAAAATACATCATAATATATTTTACCCAAGTAATTCTCTGCATCCTACATAAAGGGTCAGAAAAGCCAAATATAACAGCATTGTACATGATTCAGTGAAAAGCCCTGCTCAGTGTACTAAAAACAGGTTACTAGGGATGCAAAAAGTCTGAAGAAGAAAGGAAAAGAAATAGTACAGGAAAAATGCAATTGTATTACAAAACCCTGCAGTGCACTTTTATGTGGAATCCATGGGCCAGACTGATCAGATCAACTCAAAAAGAACATTCCTATCAAGTGGCAAAAAGGATATCAAGCATGACAACTCAGATGACAGAAATTCTCAGAAGTTTTCATTTGAAAACTCCTATTTGTACCAGTAATAATAGCCTCAAAGGAAACAAGAAATAATGGAATCAGATGGATAGGCTGAACAGGCTATACAATTTTCTTTTCTTTTTTTTAATGATATAAAGTTCAGATATGCTACATAAGTGAATCATAGTGTCATAGAGCTGAAGAGCTATTTAGGCCACCAGGTCCAACCCCCTGTTCAGTGCAGAAATCCAAATTAAGCAACCCCAACAAATGGTTGTGGAGCTACCACTTAACTAAAGCTAGGAAAGGAAAACTCACACTCTCCTTTGGTAGTTGAGTCCTTTGTTGAATCGCTCTTACTGATAGGAGGTACTGCCTTTGTGCATTTATGACCATTATTCTGTACAATGGGACAACAGAAAATAGGATTTGACCTAATTCTGTGTTACATATCTTCAGTTGTCTTATCTCAAGGCAAAACCTCCCTAATTTTCTTGCTATGTCCTTGTTAGAGTTAGCTTCAGTCCCTCAATTATCATCAGTGCCTTTCTCTAGACTTGTTTCAATTTGTATGCCAGAATTGGATATAAAATTCAAGGTTTGGATCTAACTGGTACAGAATATAGTAGACCTATTATATCTCATGATCCAGAGACTAGATTTATTGTGATTTAGCCTGTAATTGCATTTATCTTGATCCCAACTAATGTACACCTTGAGTTTGTCTCATAGCCGATGGATTTTGATTTAGATCTTGAGGAACTTTGCAATAGTCAAATCACTAGATATGTATAGAATTGAAGACAAAAGAAATATAGAGGCCAACAATAAACAAATATATTAGGGCTACAGTAATTATGAAAATACAACGAAACTGGATTTTAAAGAATATAGAGTACAGCTTGTAGAAAATAGATAATTAAATTATAGATTTACTAGTAAGATATTAATTTCTAAAATAGATGAAAGCATTTATAATTGTACAATTCCCTTTTCTTTGTAAGCTTTCTTTGTAATGTTTAGTCTTGTTTGGTATTGAAGGGAGATAAAAATAATCAACTGTCCAAGTTTCTGATGCTTTATGTCAATCTGATTATCTGTATACAGAAAAGAATCTGCAATAGCCAATCCTTCTCTTCTCACTCTATGAAGCTGACAACATCTACCAACCCACAATGAAACAGAATGGTAGATAATAACTACGAGCAGTGTGATAGCCTAGTGATAAAGACACTCATCTCTGATTTGGAAGGTTGAGAGTTCAATCCTAAGTAGTGGCAGATCTTTCTCTTTTATGACCCAAAGAAAAAATATCTGCTGCTAACTCCACAGGGGCAGCAGGGTCATCTGGACTGTAAATGCTCAGGTCCAGCCAGTCAACCTGACTCTACCCCAAATTAAGGGACTATAGGCTGTAAAAAGGAAAAAAAAATCTTACAAGCAGCTTTTGTTAAAACCCAAATGGAAGTATTTTCTGAGTCTGGGGATCAGACACATTGTTTTACATTGGTTCAAATCCTTCCTCAACAGCTGGTTCCACTGTGAGGTAACTGGGGAGGAGAAATTGACCCAGTGATACTCCTCTGTGAGATGCCACAAACATTAGTATTCATCTCCTTTTATTTATAATCAATATGAAGCTGCTGGGGGAGATCATCCAGCAGCTCAGGATCCAGTATCGATATACTGATAATACCCAACTATAACCAATCCTGGCCTCACTGGAGATGGTTCCAAAATCTTGTCTCAGTGTCTGAAAGCTAGGAATGTCTAGTACTGAAGCTTGGAATGTATTTTCCCATGATCAGGTCAGCCCTCTGAACAGTCTGCTGGAGATTTTAACATTATTAGCTTTCCAATTTACTAGATCTGCCTGCATGACATACATCCAGATCATGGACAAAGTTTTACCATAAGCTATCACCATAACTTGGTTTGTTACTTACCCCAAAATGATACTATTTATATTACTATGGTATAGCATATATTTTATCATTTTGACAAAAGCTTCTGATTCAATAGATACTAGATTCAAATGCACCTGATATGATGCACTTTTTAAACAAGTATTACATAATAAGTATTTAAAAGGCTGGATGATACTTAGAAGTAATATGATTCTTCTGAATACCTCATTTGAATAATCAATTAAAATAATGTATGTAATTGAGCATAAAAGATACAGGATAAAATGTATTTACTAATAAATATACTGTAATCATTCATGCTACAAGCATTCTACAAGATGTCTCCACACAACTGCATGTTTGAAAAAAAAACCACTGTATTTAAATACAGTTGATAGGTGGAAAGGAATATAAATTATATGAATAATAAACAAGACAGCATTGTGAAGTTCATTTCCACAGGGTTTTTTTTAATAATGAAAAAGAGCAATGTATTACCAGGTGATTTGTTACTGAAATTTAAGCCTATATAGATTGAGTATTAAAATTGTTTGTACCTCAACATGATATGCTAACCAGCCAGTTTGGGTTTATTCAACAAATCAATAAAGGCTTAGGACAAGATGTAAACTCTTATACTATTGTACTGAATCATATTTAGTGATGTAAACAGTCTTACTGCTATCAGTTAAATCCTAATACATATTTTCTTCCTTAATGGACTTTTGATGAAACAACAATGGGAAAACAAAAGAAATCTAACAATGGAACACAACAACATCTGAAATTCTTGAATAGGGAAATTCTAGAGTAGGGAAATATTAAAAGCCTGGCATATTTTGAGTAGAACTCTATCTCTACTTAAGATTTTGTTTTTCTTTTGTATCCACATTTTTTATTCTTTTTTTCTTCTTGGATACCAACTAATAGTCCAATTTGGCCATGTTGGGGATTGAAACATGTCCATGAAAAAGAGCTAAATGGAACTGAACAGCCAGTCTATGCTTCAGACAAAAGTAATGAATTACTAATTACTATTCTTCAAGGGGAAAAACCAGGAAAGTCCTTTTATTGCAAGACACAATACAGGATGAACTTGCACACAAAGGATTAGCTAAGTGAAAAAATCCTAATAAATCTCTACAGATGAAGTGAGAATATTTAAATCTTGCTCATTCTTTCAATGAATATTAGAAGCAAGGTCTATAAAGAACCAGTGTCAATGAAGAAGAATATTTGTAGCTCGGGTTGAAATGAGGGGTCCTTGGATGCTCTCTGAGCCTGCTTGTATTTTTGCAGATGTTTCTTTTGAAGATGTAATGTTCATTATGTTTTGCAGACATAAGGAACATTTTTGTAAGAAAACAGTTTAGAGAACGCCAAGGATCCCCTGAAAGAAAAAAATATCTTCTACTGTTAATCCTAGCAATTTAGCAAAGCTATGAACACAATATCTTTACAAAACCTACACTTGCAACAAATCTGTTGAGATCCTCTTCTAGAACATATAAAATTCATAATTAAAAAATACAGATTAAAAAAAACACACCTCCCATAAATCAGCAGCTGGACATTGGATGATAAAAATATAGATAACAGAAAAAGAAGTATTTTGTGTGCAGTTATCTCTTTTAAAATACAAAATAATATGGAAGACTGACATTTCACAACTTGATGCCCTGCCTTACAGACAGAATACGCTATTCTTCATGAAATCAATGTGATTTTCCCCTTGCTTTTTAAACATAAAGACCATGAAGACGGAATATGGTTATGTTTGTATGGTATTTTTAGAAATCAAAGGGAAGTAAGTAGGAGTAAAAGACTAAAGAAAACTAAAACTGAATATTGTAATTGTGAAACATTTTTATGAGTACTGCTTTATAAACTTACCACATCCTTTGGAGGAGGCTCAACTTCCTTTTTTATCTTTTTACCCATTCTAAAAACAAACAGAACAGCAGGAATAGTCAGTGAATAGCCAGTGAGTACATTTTATATTTTTAATTGAATTCATACCATATATAAAAACATTGCTATAAAGTAATGAAAAATTCCTAGATTAACAAGATCTGTACATTCAAGTTAGGAAATAGCACTGGGTATTTTATACACATTTTAAAAACCCAGAGTGTACCTTTTCTAACTCTACTCACTAAACACTAGAGTATCCATATCTCTTGAGTTGAGCTCAGAAATATTTGCAATTGTTTTCTTCCAGGATGATTTGTTTTGTTTTGTTTAAAAAAATAAACTTTCCAATCTAATCTACAGTCCAGCAATTTTCTAGGTATCTCAATTTCAAATAATAATCAGGTCTGATCCTATTTAGCGTTTAAGAGAAGCCAGAACTACTACCTCCTCTCACCATGACTAAACAGGTTGTGTGTGTGTGTGTGTGTGTGTGTGTGTGTGTGCATGTGTGTGCGTGTGTCTGTGTGTTTGCTTATTATATTTTTCTAATGTTGCTTTCATTATTAGATTTATTTCAGTAAATATTCATGTTTAATTACAGGCCTATGTGAATTCACACAAACCTACCTGCACTTTTAGCATCAATATAGCACATTAATCACAGCCCAGGCAAAGCTGAAAAAGTAAACATCCTGATAATTATGATACACAGACTTCTGCAAATCATTTAATGTGGCCCTCTCTGAGTCGGTTTCTTACTACTACAAATCTATCAGATGTTTTGTGTGCTATTTCAGGTGTCCATGCTGGTCATTGACCAAAATAAAGATAGACTGATTGATTTTTCATGGTGTTTTGACATAGCATTGATTAAAATAACAACAATTTTCACTTTTTATTTGCCCTTAGATAGGTAACTATAATTTCCTGAGTTTGCTCACTCATAAATTATCAACTAGATATGAAAAAATGAATATTCTGCTTCTGAAAAATATGGATTTATGTAACTCTAAGAGTGGAAAATTGAAATTACAATTATGTAAAGACACTTAATTTAAAATTGTACAACTGAATTATCCAGACTGCCAATCTTTTGTTCCTATTTATATGTGAATTTAATAAGCATCTAACACATCAATATGAACTGGTTAGACATTTAGTTTATAAAAGATAAGATGTAAGGTGATACGGTAGTGATAGAAAATCAAATTTTTACTTCATAATTTTGTTAAGAAGATTGAATCATATTCTTTCTAAATATGCTCCACAGCTAAATCATACAAAAGATTTCCCCAAAACTTTCAAATTTAATAACTATTGAAAGGCATTAATATCTGTGGAGCAAACATTAATACATTAAATCATCTCAAAAGCCATGGGATTAATCAGCTTTTGATTTTACTTATAACTGCAGTGCTTTTAACTAATGATCCAAATAAATTCCCTTGGCGCCCCCCCCCCCAATTCACTTTGCTGGCTGAGGAATTCTGGGAGTTGAAGTCCACAAATCTTAAAGTTGCCAAGGTTGGAGACCCGTGGCCTAGAGGAAGCCGTGTCAGTTTTTATCAGGTATGCAGGAAATAAATAGTCCTGCAAATAATTTAAAAAAGATATTTATCAAGCAGTACTTTGAAGGTAATAATCATAATGTCGAATTGCATCTGGAAGCCTACATGCAACCACTATAACTCATGAAGTAACCATGTTACATGTGCATACCTAATATAAACATAATTACTTATGCTGCTGCTTTCTGAAGTCTTCAAAGACAATTCCATGTAGAATATATTGTAACAATCCAGAGGTATATGGATTATGAGTATTATCTTTCAACCCAGCAATGGGTGAAACTAGTGCACAAGATTTGTGTGAAAGCTGTTCAGGCCATGGTTTTCACTTATTCTTCTAGCAACTGTTGTCAGCCATCAAGGACACCACATTGTTCACTGGGTCTCTTTAGGGAAGTGAGTGAATTCCATACAAAATAGATGGAAAATCTCCAGATTCACAAGGCTTCAAAATTCATAGCCGCTCAGTGTTGATACTGTTTAGCTAGAGATACTTATCTTAACTCATGCCAATGGATGGCCCAGTAGCCTCATTAAACAGATATTAAACAATAGGAGGAAAACAAGAAATATACCATTCCATGGATTATCCCAATTTCTTTCCTGCCGTGGATTATCCACAACCATGATCAGTATCTTCTCAATATTCTACCTAGGCCTAAAACCCAGATGATTCCATTAACTGGTTTCCCACCAATCTGTCTAAAACTGTCTGATCATTTTATCCACAACCTTTTCCAAAAAAAAAAAGAAGGTTGGAATTGGATTGGAAATTGTCCAAATCATTGGAGCCACAAATGGCTTCTCCAGAAGGGTTCAAACCACAGCCTCTTTAAGCAAAAATGAAATCAGTCCTCACTCAAGGATAAATATACCATCACCTGAATCCCAACACACACCACTTCTTGATCAACCACCAAAGGTATGGGTTTTATAGACAGATACTTCCATTCATAGCTCTCATGATCTTCTCCACTTTCTAAGACCAATGTTTGAAATGCTTTGCAAAGTTTCATGGGAAGGCCATAACTTAGCTGCACAGGAACTGCACAGCTACAGTCTCAGCTCTGAGTGAAGAGGTTTTATTCAATAGATACTTCAAAAGATATAATAATCCTTCAAATGATCTTCTGGCCCAAATCTCCATAGGAGAAATGGCTTATCTTAAATCAGGAGTGGACAATTAATTGCCCCTCCCTTTACTGTCCCTTTCCTGCTCAATGGGTACATGTCAGACAGGGACAGTTACAGTTTCACATGTGGCCGGTGGACTGTAAAGTGCAATTCGTCCATAAAATAACAATGGAAAAAATACCTCAGGGTTTGATTGCTTTTCTGTTTGCTTTTTTTGTATAGCATAATTACCATGGTGTAATTATTAATAATAGCATTTACCTATATTTGGTTACATTTGCTTTTCATGATTCAACATCATTACAGGCATTTCTTTTGCTAGCCCCCAGTTCCTCATACCCAAATGAAAAACAATAAATATTTTTGTCATCTCCTGTCCAAGAGAACCAACCACTGCCCTTTAAAAACATTAAACATACATCAAGGCCCAACTTCATCTGGTACTATAGATATAAATAATAGAAAGCACTGACAGTAGTGGGAGCAGGAAGCTGAAAGTTCACTTCTAATGGTACCACATGAAGAAAGCAAGATGGCCACTGTTTAAGCTGATGAACTCTGCAGTAGCTAGCAACATGGCCATTGATGTTGATCCTGTTCCCATTGCTGTTTCCTCGTGACACCCATTTGCTCCAGGCCCTTGGGAACACAGGGAGGAAACAGGAGTTTTGCAAAAAGAATGCCTCAGCCTAGAGAATGGGGGAAGCATGACAAAAGTGACTCTAACTTAATTATAGTAGGTATAGATTGATCTGGAAAACAGCTTTAGCAAACTTTCAGTATTCTATACTTTACCTTACTAGCCATAATTTTTTTTTTCCAGAAAGGCAACTAATTCTTGTTTCTTGAATTTGTCTGCCTCTCTAAGGGCTTGGCTACCAAGATTCTCAAAAACTGCCAGCAGATCTAACAATATCAGAAAACCCTCAGCACTATCAGCAGCTGCAGAAATTCATGTGACCACTAGATGGAAATAAAGAAATTCAGGAAATTTTAACTGTTTGTTGCCATTTAATATATTGATATATATGTTAATTGACAACAAATAGCAACTTCCCAAAAAAGGGGAGTCACTCTCCATTCATTAGGGCCATCCCTCAATGTAGCCCAGCATTTCCCAGTCTTTTTGACCTCAAGTTGGCAGCAAAATAATACAGAAAATTCTTAACTCCTTACTAACAACTAGCAGACACCTGGATTTTTTGTTTTTGTTTTGCAATCCAGATAGGGTAACCCTAAAGTAAAATTTTCAACTGCTAACTCTTTGCTTAAATCAGAGAATCCAAAAGAACTAGTGAATAATTCATTTAATCAGAGGCAGCCTAAGAGGGAAGTGCCTAAAGTAAAAACATAACTAGCTGTTAACATTAGGTGGATGACCAGCTGAAATATAGAAGTACTACTTTCCTTATCTTTCATCAATTTCTGAAAACACATATCATAGAAGGAAAAAGTTCTAAAGCTGTAGGAACTGCAGTTAGCAAACTTAAAAGTGAAAGCAATACCAGATGTGTAACTTAACTTACTCAAGGAATTAGAGGTCAGTTCTGAGGGCAATTACCTCCTCTGGAGAACAGACAGTAAAATAAGGATGTAACATGAGCTACAGAGCTACATTGCTGTGATCATTTAGGAAGCCAACAGCTCCTTTCCCCAGGATTGATTACAGTACTGCCTTTAGAATCTTTGATTGCTTTCAATCCTTTTTAGGAATATGAAAAATTATTTGGCAAAGTAATAACAAGTGTCATTGACTAGCTGGTTTTATCTTATTCTTCAGTTAAATTTGAATTATAGGAACTGCTCAAATCTATAATATTAAACTTGTTCTTATTCACTACATCTTAATCTATTATTAGGAATGTAAATAGTTGTTTCCCTACAAAGAAATCACTGAAGAATTTGTATCTTGGTTTAAGGTTTTTATATTTGTATACATTAATATATAATCTTTTAGATTATATAGAATTAAGAACTAGTTAAAAAAAAATCCTTTTCTATCAGAAAGAAGAAAGAAGTTTCTCCAAAGACCAAAGTAAGTCTCTGCTTCTTTCTCATCCCAGAGAAAACTTACTCTTAAGTATATCCATCTCACTTGTCCCTTTCTGTTAACTTATCTCAGGAAGAAAAAAAAAATCATCCCAGCTCCTATTGCAAAAACACAACCAGAATGTTGCTAGCCATACGCTTTATATTTGAATCACTGAAATATAATCACAGCGATTAAGTGTTCTCATTAGGTCTCAAAAATTACAGAATAGGAAAAAATCCTTAGAAGTAATTAACACTAAACCTCAATAACCATTACAATATTCCGTCAGTAGTT